TGCCGTTGTGCTGATTCGCAGGCTTGCTGGCTGGTTCGGAGGCTGACCAGATTGCTGGCAAGTTCGCCGAGCGGACCCATTGTTTTTTCTGTTTTTTCCCAACCCTCCTGCGTTGGGTTCTCGTTCTGAATAGAGCACTGCTCGCGCGTCTCCTTCCCACGCGCGTCTCCTTCCCACCCCCTCCCGTCCCTCTCTTCCCCCTGCCTTTGACCTCGCCATCCCTGGGGGGCTGCGATCTGTGCAACTGTCGCCACTTTCGAGGGCTGCTGGGGGGCCCAGCACAGTGGGTACTCACCGCGGGCTCAAATTAGACCTCGCCATCCCTGGGGGGCGGCGATCTGTGAAACTGTCGCCACTTTCGAGGCCTGCTGGGGGCCCAGCACAGTGGATACTCACCGCGGGCTCAAATTAGACCTCGCCATCCTTGGGGGGCTGCGATCTGTGAAACTGTCGCCACTTTCGAGGGCTGCTGGGGGGGCCAGCACAGTGGGCACTCACCGCGGACTCAAATTAGACCTCGCCATACCTGGGGGGCTGCGATCTGTGAAACTGTCGCCACTTTCGAGGGCTGCTGGGGGGCCCAGCACAGTGGGTACTCACCGCGGACTCAAATTAGACCTCGCCATCCCTGGGGGGCTGCGATCTGTGAAACTGTCGCCACTTTCGAGGCCTGCTGGGGGGCCCAGCACAGTGGGTACTCACCGCGGACTCAAATTAGACCTCGCCATCCCTGGGGGGCTGCGATCTGTGAAACTGTCGCCACTTTCGAGGCTGCTGGGGGCCCAGCTCAGTCGCGGACTCAAATTAGACCTCGCCATCCCTGGGGGGCTGCGATCTGTGAAACTGTCGCCACTTTCGAGGCCTGCTGGGGGGCCCAGCACAGTGGGTACTCACCGCGGACTCAAATTAGACCTCGCCATCCCTGGGGGGCTGCGATCTGTGAAACTGTCGCCACTTTCGAGGCCTGCTGGGGGGGCCAGCACAGTGGGTACTCACCGCGGGCTCAAATTAGACCTCGCCATACCTGGGGGGCTTCGATCTGTGAAACTGTCGCCACGTTCGAGGCCTGCTGGGGGGCCTAGCACAGTGACGCCACACGCAGATTCAAGTTAGACCTCGCCATCCCTGGGGGGCTGCGATCTGTGAAACTGTCGCCACTTTCGAGGCCTGCTGGGGGGCCCAGCACAGTGTCGCCACGCGGGGACCCAAATTAGACCTCGTCATCCCTAGGGTCTGCGATCTGAGATCCCCGCCTTCGAAGCGGCTAGGGTTGCTCAGGGATTGTAACTAATCAGCTTTATCTAGTCCTTGTCCTGTAGCCAGTGTCCTGCGAGTGTCCCGAATTCCGTCTGCAGACATATGTAACCATCGTTCAATCGCCCCCTTTATAAAGCGTCCTAAACTATTTTTGCCCCGCGTTTGCGCAGGGGCTGGGTACGTCGCCAGGGTAAGTTCTACAAAGGGTCGCAACTTCGGGAGCGCGAGCCAGCATAAAGCTAGGTTCTGCACAGTAGCAGACAAACGACGCAGACGAGCAGCGCGAAGAGAGCACCATACTGAATGCAATGAGTATCGGAAACGGAGACAGCGCCAACTGAGTACCATGACAGTACGATGATTGTCGTACACAGGGAAGCCACCGACATATCGATTGGCTTCGGGGTCGCTGAAGATTCTTGTTCGGACCGAGGGAGTTCTAAAGTTGTTGAGCTATCAAGGACAATGCAACCTTGCGAACTGCCTCTTTGCACTGGCGATGACTGAAGCTTTTTCCCCAACCCTCCTGCGTTGGGTTCCCGTTTTGAATAGAGCACTGCTCGCGCGTCTCCTTCCCAAGCGCGTCTCCTTCCCACCCCCTCCCGTCCCTCTCTCCCCCCCTGCCTTTGACCTCGCCATCCCTGGGGGGCTGCGATCTGTGAAACTGTCGCCACTTTCGAGGGCTGCTGGGGGGGGGGGGGGGCAGCACAATGGGTACCCACCGCGGACTCAAATTTGACCTCGTCATCCCTGGGGGGCTGCGATCTGTGAAACTGTCGCCACTTTCGAGGCCTGCTGGGGGGCCCGGCACAGTGGGTACTCACCGCGAACTCAAATTAGACCTCGGCATCCCTGGGGGGCTGCGATCTGTGAAACTGTCGCCACTGTCGCCACTTTCGAGGGCTGCTGGGGGGCCCAGCACAGTGGGTACTCACCGCGGACTCAAATTAGACCTCGCCATCCCTGGGGGCTGCGATCTGTGAAACTGTCGCCACTTTCGAGGCCTGCTGGGGGGGCTGCGAGCTGTGAAACTGTCGCCACTTTCGAGGCCTGCTGGGGGGGACCAGCACAGTGGGCACTCACCGCGGACTCAAATTAGACCTCGCCATCCCTGGGGGGCTGCGATCTGTGAAACTGTCGCCACTTTCGACAGCTGCTGGGGGGCCCAGCACAGTGGGCACTCACCGCGGACTCAAATTAGACCTCGCCATCCCTGGGGGGCTGCGATCTGTGAAACTGTCGCCACTTTCGAGGCCTGCTGGGGGGCCCAGCACAGTGGGTACTCACCGCGGACTCAAATTAGACCTCGCCATCCCTGGGGGGCTGCGATCTGTGAAACTGTCGCCACTTTCGAGCCTGCTGGGGGCCCAGCACAGTGACGCCACACGCAGATTCAAATTAGACCTCGCCATCCCTGGGGGGGCTGCGATCTGTGAAACTGTCGCCACTTTCGAGGCCTGCTGGGGGGCCCAGCACAGTGACGCCACACGCAGATTCAAGTTAGACCTCGCCATCCCTGGGGGGCTGCGATCTGTGAAACTGTCGTCGCTTTCGAGGCCTGCTGGGGGGCCCAGCACAGTGTCGCCACGCGCGGACCCAAATTAGACCTCGCCATCCCTGGGGGGCTGCGATCTGAGATCCCCGCCTTCGAAGCGGCTAGGGTTGCTCAGGGATTGTAACTAATCAGCTTTATCTAGCCCTTGTCCTGTAGCCAGTGTCCTGCGAGTGTCCCGAATTCCGTCTGCAGACATATGTAACCCTCGTTCCGTCATCGCTCCCTTTATAAAGTGTCCTAAACTATTTGCGCCCCGCGTTTGCGCAGGGGTTGGGTACGTCGCCAGGGTAATTAGTTGTTGAAGCCTGTGCCTCGCAGCCCGATGGCTCCCACAAGGGGGGCGGATGGATCTGGGACTGGCAGGTGGGCCGGCTGATCGTTGATTTGTGTTCGCAGAATTGGGGAACGGGCTTGCACTTCACCGCGATGGCCGCCGCGCGCAGCGATCACGGAGGCGGCTGGATAGCAACTTGCCGGAAAGAGAAAACCATTCGGGTGTGGACGCACACGGAGCATGGCCGCGAGGTCGCGGAGAGACTCATGGACCTTCATGACCGGACTGGAGATTGCAGGTCGCTCCAGAAGGAACTCGCGGACCATACATTTCATGTGGCAGATATTTCTGTTTCCGCGAATCCTCCCGAACTTGCCGATATGTCCGACTCCGCGGCCATCATTTCAGTCGAAGTCCAAGTGGCGGCATAGCGCAACCTTTGGCCGAGCAGTATCACCTCTCACAGCTGGCTGCCCACGGAGCAGAGCTCTGCACTGCCCAAGGCAGAGGGTTGCCCGGAGCGTGGACGCGTGGTGTGGACATAACGCGACCGCGCAGCCAGACTTACCAGCCTCGAACGTATCCCTATCCCTACCGTATCCCTATCCCTAAGATTGACACGCCAAACGGCGATGGCAATCTTAGGGATTCGCCCTCAAAAATAAGGGAATCCCTAAGATGGGCATCGTAATGAGGAGGTGCCCAGCATAGGGATAGGGGTATGTTCCAGGCTGGTAACAGACGCTCTTCTTCCGAGGCGGTGATCTCTCCATTCACCACCCACCAAACCACCCCAACCCAACCCGAAGGCCCAAAATTATCCTCGATTTCCAGTGTGGGGGGGTCGGGGAACATCGAAAAAACACATGGGATCCGTACCCCCCCCAACCCGAAATTCGGGTCAAATTCGAGCCTTCGGGTTGGGTTGGGGTGGTCTGGTAGGTAGTCATCCAGAGCCACCGCTGGGGGCGTCGGTCTTCGGGGACCTCGGCGGGCGGCGGCAGTGGATGCCTTCGGGCCCCCCCTGGGGCCGACATATCGGAGGGAGGAGAAGCGACACCAACAGCACCAGGGGGGCCCACCTCCAGCGAGGAGGGCCACGATGCCTCCCCCAGCTGGAGGCTGGGGATGTCTCGAGCGAGAGGGGGGGGGGGGGGGGGGGGCACACCACCAGGGAGACCCCCCTTACCTCCTCGCATCTCCTCGCCCTGGTAGTGTCGGGGTCGCCTTTCCTTGTTCCTTATATTCATATATATATATATATACACAAGTATATGTATGTATATACATGCTTCTATACATACATACATACATACATACATGCATACATACATACATACATGCATGCATGCCTGCCTGCCTGCCTGCCTGCCTGCCTGCCTGCCTGCCTGCCTGCCTGCCTGCCTGCATGCATGCATGCATGCATGCATGCATGCATGCATGCATGCATGCATACATACATACATACACACACACTAATACAGTGGGGGCGCGTACCAAGAAACCGGATGCTTTTCGTCAGGACATCTTGGGTTTCTTCGCTCCGCGCGGCCCGCGATGGTTTCCCGCGGATTTTCGGGGTTGGATTCTCGCGAGCGTTGCCTCGGGGGAAGCAACTGTTTTGTGGGGAGTTCCAGGGTTGGGCTTCTTGCGACGGGTTCGTGCGCCCGTGCGCCCACTGGACCCCCTCCCACCGCCCCTTCGGGCCCGAGGAGGAGGAGGAGGAGGAGGAGGAGGAGGAGGAGGAGGAGGAGGTCGAGCCCCTATGGTATACCTATCCACCTCCATCGCCCCTTCGGGCCCCCGCACAGCGGCTCCCCGGGCCGTGGCTCTGGTCACGTAAGCCGCCGCCTCGCACGCCTTGGCGCGCTGGTCTTCCCGCGCCTCTCTGGCGCGGGGCCCGCGGGCGGAGCGATGCTCGACGCCAGGGTGGAGTCGGGCCTGGCCCTCTACAGGAGGAATCCTCCTCCTCCTCCGCCTCCTCCGCCTCCTCCTCCGCCTCCTCCTCCTCCTCCTCCTCCTCTGGGAACGTTTTTTCGACTATTTTGTAAGATTCCTTGTTATTTGTGGACTATGTTTTCGTTCCTCGTCCAGAATCCGCCTGTAGGGGGGACTTGCCCGACCTGCGCCAGGGCGTCGCAGCGTACGCTCGCGCCCAGGCGCAGGCGCGGCGCCAGGCTGTGCAGCCCGCTGCGGGCACGCCGAAGCCCTCCTCCCAGGAGGCCCCCCTCCCGCTGGGACGACTCGTTGTGGTCGTCAGCAAGTCTTCCCAGCGGGACGGAGAAAAAAAAGGAAACATAAACAAAACTTGCGGTGGTCGCCAGCCGCCGAGGAGCACCGAGGGGCGGTCCGACGACGTGGGTCCGCCCACGCCTCGGGTTTTCTGTTTTTCAGGCCGCGGCACCCACGCCATGCCCTGGGTGGGCACGGCGGGGCTCCTCTCGGGGGGTGCGTGGACGACTCCGGCGCGCTCCCTTCGCCTCGCTTCCTTGGGCGCCGCGTAATGGGGGGGTCATAAATGGGGGGGTGGCGAGCGTGGTCCGAAAAGGTACCCAAACGGTGCCCAAACGAGCCCCCTGGGGCTCTGGAGGGGCCCGAAAGGGGCACGAAAGGGGACCTGTTCTGACCCCCCCATTTGTGACCCCCCCATTAAGCCACGCCCAACTTCCGCTTCTGTCTCGGAGGCCCCGGGGCTGACCCCGACCGCAAAATCGGCGGATGCCTCCACCGCCTCGGAGTCCTGCTGGTACGATCCGGGCTCCCCGGGCAGCCGAGGGATTCTCACCAGCACCAAGCTCCAAGGTCGTGTATGGGGGCCCGTCAGGGCCGCATACGACACGGTTCGGTGCGATCCGGATCGCGGGCTGGGCCTGCGATTCCGATCCGATTCGAGTTGGCCTGAATCGCTTGCATCGGCCAAGGCCAGACGGAGCTGGGTGCGGCGATCCGATCTCGTTACGACTCGGGACGACCCGTTGGCCATCTGATCCGTCTCCGTTCCGATCCGATTCCAAGTTTCGATCCAGTTGAGGCCTGCCCATTCCCGCTTCTGCGCCTTTTCTGTGTGTGTTTTTTTTTTTCTCATGGCAGTTCGTCATCTCGAGGCTCCACCCTTCTTGCCTCGCCCCAGCATGGCTTCATCCCGAAGGGGGGGGGCTTCGAAGATTTTGACGTGATGGTGTGGCTGAGCGTGTCCGCGCATGTGGAGCGCAGCAGCTACGAAGGCAGAGCTGAATACCGGCGCTGCTACTAGAGTCTAGTTCCATCTGTGGGTGTTGCTCAATCTCCTCCGTCTCCTCTTCCCTCTCATTGTTTTGTTTTGTCTCTCTCTCTTTCTCTGTCTCTCCTTGTTTCTGAATCTCCCCTTCACCTGTTTATTCTCCCGCGCCGGTCATTTAGTGGCCCTGGCTGTCACATCCATGTTAAGTGGACCGACGGCGAGCGATTGGAAGAACATCCGACCGCCGTCGCATCAATCCTTGCTTCTCCAGTACACCTTAGCACCTGCTGTAATTCCAATCATTTTTCTGAAGCGCCTTCGGGCTTCTCCAGACAAACTGGTTATGTCGGCATCATGATGGTTGCTCGTACACATCCAGCATGCCTATTGCGCCTCCCACCGCTGGCCACGCGCACCGAATCATCTTTCCAAAGAAGAGGCGGTCATGACCTTGGCGTTCACGGATCTGGGTTGGATTCCATTGTCGTCGCATTGAGATAGCCTCAGACGGCGTCGAAACGGCCCAAGGCGATCCACGATGTCCCCGGTGCAGGCCCGAGCCAGTCCAACATGCGCGCAAGCGGGTACCCAGACCCGCCCAAGACAATCCGAGAAGGGTTCCCGACGGCCTGGAGCGCTTCCTCGGAGCGTCCCTCCCTCCACGGGGGCTCGCGGCGGGCAGAATCCTGTCCGGAGGACAAGCGATCGGGAAGCAACGGGCCCGGCCCAGTGCTGCCGAGAGAGGGGGAGGAAGAAGATCGGACGGGGCTGGGACGAGGAGCAATCTGTTCTGGAGCGTGTCGGAACGCTCTCAGAGCGTTCCGGAACGCTCGAAGACGAAGAGGGCGGGTATCGAGTGTTTGGGACATCCATGTTGAATGACACGCGAGCCAATGAGAACCAACAGTCTTAGAATGATTGGCGTTGTTGTTGTCGTCGTCTTCGCCCGCGAACCCCCCGCGACCCACCCGCGACCCACCTGCGACCCACCCGCGATGCACCCGCGTCTTACCCCGTGCCCACCTCCGCCTTCTTATTTGCAATTGCGGGGCGCCACGTTATGCATATAGATATATGCATGGTTAGAAACGTATATGTATGTATGTATGTACGTATGTATGTATGTATGTATGTATGTATGTATGTATGTATGAATGTATGTATATATGTATGCATGTATGTATGTATGGGTGTGTGTATGTATGTATGTATGTATGTATGTATGTATGTATGCATGCATGCATGCATGCATGCATGTATGTATGTATGTATGTATGTATGTATGTATGTATGTATGTATGTATGTATGTATGTATGTATGTATGTATGTATGTATGTATGTATGTATGTATGTATGTATGTATGTATGTATGTATGTATGTATGTATGTGTGTATGTGTGTATGTGTATGTGTGTATTTATGTAGGTCGGTAGGTAGGTAGGTAGGCATGTATGTACGTGTGTATGTGTGTATGTGTGTATGTGTGTATGTGTGCATGTGTGTGTATGTATGTATGTACGCACGTATGTATACATGTTTGTGTGTATGTATGTATGCATGCATGCAGGCATGCATGTATGTATGTGTGTATGTATGTATATATGTATGTATGTATGTGTATACATATGTAAATATGTGCTCCCCAGGCCTCCGAAGTCGGTGGCCCCTTGTGGACCCCCTATCGTGTAACTGTGTAAAGCTCGTTTGAGTCTAAGTTGGGCCTGCCCCTCTAGAGAAGGAATATTCAAACATAGTCAAAAATAAACAGGGAACGATTCTTCTATCATTTCTGTGTATGTGTTGAGCATTTCTGAACTATGTTTCATGCTTGGCCCCAAATCATTCTGTAGGGGGACATTGCCGACCTAACGCAAGGGTGCCATCCTCCCCCTTAGGTTTTTCTTTGGTAATACAATATTTGCTTGATGCGGGGAGGGGCAAAAAATCACGGGGAGACTCTATCCAGGTGTATCTCCACGACGTGCTCGTTGTGATCCGTCTTGAGTTGCCAGTTTTCCTCCCTGTCTTCGTCGCACTCTTCTCCTCCACCGTGCCCCTCTCCCCCTGCTCGTGCTGCCAGCCCTGCCCGTCCCCCTCCCCTCCTGCCTGCTCCCCCCGTGCTTCGGGCGGCCTCCCCTCCGAACCCTCGGCCGTGCCGCAGGAGGTGTCGTGGCTCAACAGGTTCAACCAGTCCGGCCTCAACGTGCCCTTCAACACGGACGCCGCCCCGCCAATGCTCGGCTGCCGCCCACCCGACTCTCGCAGGAGAGAGCGCATAGACAGAACTGTTCTCGGAGATTCGCACGGAATCTCCCGGCGTCGGGCGACGGAGCTATCGGGTTGCAAGGAGCAGCGTGTCCTCGGGGCCTCGACGCGCGAAGCAAAAGGTGCCGGATGTCCCGAGTCGACGCTCGACCCCTCTCTGGCGGCGCCCGGTGCCCGGCACCGGCCCGGGAACTGCGCGCGGATCTCCGAGCGATTACCCGTCGGTCGTCGAGAGCATGCATTTTTGGAGTCCCAGGTTCCAAGCTGCTTTGAGCGCCTTCCCACTCCAGTGATCGAGTGGCTTCACCTTTTTTCCGTCCTCTTCAGGGGGCGGGCGGACGCGCAATCTACTTCCAGCGCCTTCCTGCTTTCTGTTCCTGCCCACTTCTTCCGAGCGACGGGTAGGCTTATGCCGTTCTTGGTTCCTCTGGGTTCCCCCTCGGATTCGCCATCGGGCGGGCACCGCCTCCCAGGCCTCCACCGCCGATCCTGCGTCCGCCCTTTTGCGCGCAGCGGGTTTTCTGCGCGCAGCGCACGGGCGCGGGCCCGTCCTCGCCGAGCCGGTGCAGACGCCTGTCCTCAGCACGCGCCGCTTCGGCGGCGCTCCCACAGCGATGGGGGCGACGAGGCGGCGCCTGCCGTCGTGGGCGGTCCGCCGTCTCGGAGGCCGCGGTGCGTCCAGCATCCCCGTGGTGGCGTTGCAGTGGTGTCGTCGTGCAGGCCCCACTGGATGGAGGAGCAGGGCGCGAGAAGGGAGCGCAGGGGCCGTGGAACTTGGAGTGGGAAATGCAACTCTGTGCTTGAGATGCAACTGAGGTTTGAGGGGTCAGGTGTACGGCGACGCAGTGGAGGTCCATCTTAGCTAGAGGAGGTCTGAAGGAACGTCAGGAGGAGGAGGAGGCGGAGGAGGAGGGGGAGGGGGAGGGGGGACAATGTGACGGCGCCGAAGCACGTACTGGGCGGAGGCTGAAGGAGGAGGCGACGGGATGGTCAGGAGAGAGGATCAGGTGACGGACGGGGCGAGGACGATGAAGTGGCTAAGGGTGAGCAGAAAGAGACGATGGCCCATGAAGAGGAAGACGACCGCAAGGACGAGGAGGAGCACGTGGACAAGGACAGGGGAGGATGATGCGCAGGGCGAGGTGGATAGGGGAAGAGTGAGGGAGAGGAACAAAAATGTGGTGCGGTGGGGGAGGACGATGATCAGGAGGAGGATGCGGAGCAGGAGGAGGATATGGAGGAGGAGGAGGAGGAGGAGGAGGAGGATATGGAGGAGGAGGAGGAGGAGGAGGAGATGGAGGAGGCGGAGGAGGAGGAGGAGGAGGAGAAGGACGACGACGACGACGAGCTACGTAGAGGAGGAGAGGAAGGTGGAGAAGGCAGAGGAAATGAGGATTGGATGGAGGCGGAGGGAGGGAGGAGGAAGCGGAGGATGAGGAGGAGGGCGATACGTAGGGAGAAGGCGGAGGAGGCATAGGTGGAGGTGTAGGGGGTAAGAGAAATCTCTTGAGTACACACGACGCCTGGCCCCAGAGCATTCCCTCATCAGGGGGGAATCCGGTTTCCCGTCAGGTCGCCGTCCTTTCCCGAGGTTTCCTTGGCTCGCCGCTGGACAGCCCCACACCCCTTCGGCCCCGAGACGGGCCTGGACCTCATCAGACGCTGCCAGACGTGCCTCCCGACACGGGTTCATTGACTCGAGGGGAGGTCGATGGCGTCATGATGCTTGGTCGACAGGCCCGATGTCCTCCAGACGCTTCCCAGAGCCCCCCCAGGAGCTCTCCAGAGAGCTATTGGATGACCATTTTAAGCTTTTTCGATGTTCTTCGCCCTCCACCGTAGTCGTCTTCGGAATTGCTCCAGGATCCCACGAGGCCCGGCACCAGGGGCGCAGAGGCCGCAGACGCGCCCGGCCCGAGCCCGCTCGAAGACGGGCTGCGACGGTGCCACGACGGCGTCGAGACGTGCCAAGATGGCCGCACGGCCGCCCAGACGGCCTCGCCCCAGGCACCGGAACCCACCCGAGACGGCCCCAAGACTTCGAGATGCTCCCGCAAGAGGCCCCGCAGGAGGCAGGCCCCGAGAGGCCTCGGAACGGTTCCCAGGTGGCTTCCCCCGCAGACCCCCACCCAGAGGGTCCCGGCCCCAAAGAGGCCTCCGGGATATCCCTCGGCCTTATTGGGCCCCTCCTGGCTCTGTCTTGGGTAATCTTGGGGCAACTTTGAGGTCTCAGAGGCCATCGGACGCAACAAGGCGAGCAGGGGCCTGTCATTGTCGTCCTCCAGTTGTTGGGACTGTTTTCCCCTCGTTGGGGGTTGTGAAGGCTTCAGGGGCGCCTGGGGCCGTCTAGTGGACTTCTTTGAGCCTCTCGGAGGTATGTCGGAGGCCACGTTGCACCTTCCTAAGTTACTTGAGCTATCTTGGGGCACCTGGGGCCCTTTGGGGGCCATCTTTGGCCCAAAGCGTCCTCTAACGATGCGCGGAGGGGCCTGTCCAGATTCCTGGGAAGCGGTAAGGGGGAGGGGCCAAGTTCCTGGCGAGAACGCCGCAAGTTGTCTCGCTCATTCCCGCCCGCCCTCCCACTGCACAAGTAGCACCCGAGTCTCAGCACAGGCGTGGGCCGCCATTGACAACCATCGGTAACACATGCAGACGCCAGCCAGGTGCGCGAAGCCCGCGAGGTGCGCTGCACTTGCCAGGTGCGCCACGCGCACCATGTGCGCCACATTAGGTAATGTATCGACCTTCCCTCTCTTACACACACACACACACCTTTTTTTCAAAATCCAATACAGCGCGACTGCGGGTTTGCGAGCGTTTTGTATTGTGTGTGGGTGGGCGCCAGCAATGATTCGGCATTTGTTTCTGACAAGGATGTTCGACCTACACGCAGCAGGCAGTATGCCGTCCCCCAAGCCGTCCCTGGCAACGTGAACTTTGCTTTAGTTTTGAGAGGGAATGATCGACTGTTCGCAGCAGGGAATCTGCCAGCCTCTCCCTCCTGTTCTTTTCAAGCTCAAATGCAGACTGATCGCGGAGTGTCCGCGCATGATCCATATTTTAGTGCATCGTGCATTTTGCATTATTTGATGCAAGGTATGGGGGGGAGCGTGGCATTGCATTCAGCATGCAATCTGTCGCCCCCCCCCC